TATTTAGGAAACCGTGATTATTCTCTGCTTAAAAACATGTGCTGATGTCTGAACCACCACCACTTCTACACTTCATCTTCAAGGTCCTGCTTTAACTCCCTCCTTCTCACCAGGAAGAGATAATTAAATCAGATCTAGTCCTTGTGAGAGGTAATAGATTAATTATTCCACTCACAGTGGTTGCTCTTGTCACTCAGTCTCTAGCTTATCAATACAGCCCCTCCAGTTAATCAGACTGGGAGGACTGCTGCCTTCAGGCTATCTTCTTATACAGTCACCGTGCACCCTAGTGTGACTGGGAGCTTAAAAATCACACTGCACAGCTTTGGCTGATGAAATAGGCAACAGCTGAGAAAAAATTGATGGTGCAGAGAGGTCCTTTCCCAACCTCTGCTTCAGCCTAGTCTAGGATAGCACTGGTTTGAATTATTCACCTTCCCACAGACATCCTGGGGCTGTGGCAAAATGAATGGGGATGCTTTAGGTGAATTCCCAGTGTATTCTGAAATTAGCACCAATGAAGCCTCATTCTAACGCTCTCTTTAAGTCAATCAAGAACTGCTAAAAACACTTTAAAAAGGTGAGTGAACGTTGTCCCCGTGCAATAGTTGTACAGTTTTAACTTACACTTGGTTGTACTGATTTACCTGGCCTGGGTTTGACTAAAGTTGATGTGAACTAGATATTGTGTACGAGCGATAGAGCTGCCAGTAGAGAATTGCCCTTATATTCTCTGCCTACCACTTCCTATTAACATAACAGGAATAAAAGTGCTTCTCTAATGTTTATAAATCACTTTGGATAGGAAAAGCTCTATATAGTATTAATACATTTATTATCCACCAAACTACAAGGGCCAAAGATGGCCAGTGATATATAAATATCCAGTGAAATTGTTAAAAATTCAAAACTTCATTAACAATTTAAAACCATCCGCACTGAATATTACAGCAGACCCTGTTCTGCTGCTTAAAACAAACTGAACGTGCCCTGTTTGCCCACGGACCTCTTAGAACACACGGTGAGGAAGGAAGGACCACGCTCCTCCCTGCCTGTCCTCTCTGCCAAGTGAGACCCAACACAGGCTGGGGCTTGGCTTGTGTTTGCTGTACATGTTCTGGTGTCCCCAAGGACCTGCCACGGGGACTCTGGGCGTTCAGGGGTAAAATCCTGCCAGGTCCACTGTCAGGGTTAACCCCATCCTAGGGAGGAAAGCTCTGCTCCCCTGCCTGCTTCTCCAGCAGCATCATTCAGATAATTTCCCTCTCTCTGCTGCGCTGTGCTCTCTCCCCTGGCAGTTTTCCTTCCCTGCACCACGCTGCTTTTCAGCATGACTGTATTCATCCAGCTACCGTGACCTGGGATTTGACAGCTCCTCGATAAGGGGTCTGTGATTCGCCTTATCTCCCCCGTGTGAATTAGCCTGCCTTAACACCTTCGGCACATTCCCTCCTCCTCCTTCCCTTCCCCTCGCTGACCCCCCGCAATCAGACAGGGAACTGCCAGATAAAGGATCTTCTCCTGGCTGGTGCTATAATGAAACACGCTCGCGGGTTCCCACCTGGAATTCAGGATTAGTTTAACTCCTGGATTTTTCACTCTCCCCGTGGCTGAGCCCACCCCTGCTGCAGCTCTCGGAGCTGACACCCATTTTGGGCACCTTTTGGCCAGGTTCCCCTCCTAGTGCCTCACCGAGCTGTTCTGGCACTGGACGCTGGAGCTGTTGAAGCGCAGGGCGGGTACGCGATGGATACGCGATGGATCACACCCTGGATGCTGAGGACACACTCGTACCCGCGCTGGCCAGACTGGGGCTGGGGCAGGTTTCTCGCCTTCAGTGTGATGGGTTTCACCTCTCCCACTGGGATCAGGATCTCCTCTGTGGGGAAGAGCTGAGGACAGTCCTGGGGGGCAATAAGAGAGAGGGGGAGGTTACAGTGGTGACAGTGTGTCCGCAGGTCTGGCCAGGTCTCAGCCCGCGCTGGCCAGACTGGGGCTGGGGCAGGTTTCTCGCCTTCAGTGTGATGGGTTTCACCTCTCCCACTGGGATCAGGATCTCCTCTGTGGGGAAGAGCTGAGGACAGTCCTGGGGGGCAATAAGAGAGAGGGGGAGGTTACAGTGGTGACAGGGTGTCCGCAGGTCTGGCCAGGTCTCAGCCCACCCGCTCCAGCAGTGGGGCTGACGTCCCAACACATCCTCAGTGCTCAGGACCAGCCACTTCTCCATCCACCCAGGCAGCTGCAGGTTAAATGCAGAAATAAAGAAACACCATTAGAGTTCCCTTGCTCTGGGACTGGCGCTGATTTTCTCACCGCAGTCACAGAAGAAGGAACATCACTATTTGGGGAAGGAATCACAGGCTCCTGCCCGCTCTGAGCTCGCCGTGGGTTTTACCCACAGAGACCCGAGTTCTCACCCTGCCCTCCTGCAGCCCATTATCAGCTGCTCCAGCTCCATCTGAGCCTTGTGCTCCGGGAGGGTGATGGGCTCCTCCCGGCCGCACGCTGCCCTCCCCAGCCTCCTCCTAATCCCATTTCAGTCCTTACACCCTCGGCTGTGTGCCACTTCAGGGTGAGACTGATCATAGAATCACAGAATTCCAGACTGGTTTGGGTAGGAAGGGACCTTAAAACTCATCCAGTTCCAACCCCCTGCCATCAGCAGGGACACCTTCCACTAGAAGCACGGGATGTGCTTCCCTCTCACTACCAGGTACGGTTCCACTCCGCTTTATCTGAGTAAATTACACCAGTATGCCATTAATTTTGGAGGCAACATTAATTTCTGCTCTGACTGCTCTCACCTCTTACCAGGATCCAACACCTCTGCCCTTTCTGGAACGCCTGGTCAGCTCACTGCAATGCTCCACTGCTGCTGCTCGCACGGCTTTACCCTTCACTGGGGCTGCCTGAGTGGGAGACGTGCCAGCCCGGGGGGGCAAGGCATCAGGATTGAACGTAATTCCACAGATGAGCAGATCTCCAGTTCCTCATGAGCACAAACTACATGTCTAAATAATACTTTGAGATGAAGCACAAAAATAGACCTCTCAGTGCCTGGCAGTTGTATGACATTGCTCCCATAAGATCTCAGCATCCTTGACATTATCTCTTCATAACACACTGGGAGACACAGGTTTTTTTCTCAGTTTATACACTGGGAACTGGAACACGCAGAGACAAAGGCTCTGACCGTCAGAAGTATTTACATTCTGTTTAGCTCTAATTTGCTTTGATCTAATGAAACTAGGTACCTAAGCACCTGTAAGTGTCTGACACTAAATGATTAATCCCAAGCTGAAGTAGAAGTTTTAGAAAGAGACGGACTGACATCTCCTTTCCCTCTGCCAAATCCCTGACTGGCAGCCCAAGCCCTTTGCTCCCCCATCTAGCAATTAAAGGAGATCATCCGGATGGCAATGCAGGAGATCCATTGTGGCCAGGCTCTGGCTAGGACTGGTTATCCCGGGAGAAAATCCCCACCTCTCAGTGCAGACCCCCCCAGCTCACGGCCGGGCTGAGCGGATGCTCTTGCACTACTGGCTCAGGCAAGTTGTAAATGAGAACCAGATGCTTCCCCAGTTTGGAGAAGCCAGTAGCTTTAACTGCTGCCTCATAAACCCTTTTAGTGGCACTTTTCCTTATATATTTTTTATTTTATTTTTTATTTTATTTCTAACAGGGACTTTCACGGATTAACAGCCAAGAGCGATTTTAAACTCCAACAGCCAGAAACGGGCTGTGCTGAGGAAAGAGCCCAGTTCTGCAGCAGAGCAGGTTTGCAGGATGGAAGGGAACGGCACTGTGAAGCTCAGCTCTGAGGTTCCTGCAGACCCTGGTGTCACAGATCCAAGTCCCAGCTCAGATTTTACCCTACTACCAGCAAACTCCTCAGATTCACAGTGTTTTCCATCCAACTGCTGACTTTGCACGCACGTTCCTTCCTCCTCGTTACGCACCACACACCTGCACCACCTTCTACTTGAGATCTGACTGCATTTCAGGTTTTGCATTTAACCTCAAAGTCGTATTGAGGACCAACAAGAGACAAATGGCTCCATCTCAGAGAGGTTCCCAGCTCTTTGGAAAGGCCACGTCTGAGAGAAGAGGCATCCTGGAGCTGTAGAATTTTTTATCATATTATAATTGAAAACAAAAAATCTCCAGCCACATCACCAGTGGCAGAACCTCAGTGCACAGTCTTGAAAATAATGAATATGTCATGGACCATTATCCTTCCTGGCCACTGCCATTTGTGAGATGGCTATTAAAGAAATGCTTCTTCCTTTAGAGACATGGGAGAGGACTTAGAGTTTCAAATCTGCTCTGTAGTGCTGAAAATGCTGGTAGCAAAAATGGTTCTGCCATCATTAGAGATGAGTAGGACATAACAGGACATAACAGATTTTTTCTCCTTTGGTTCCAGTGGGAGAAAAATGTCACATTGGGATTCTGGTAAAAAAAAATTAAAAATAAAAAAAATAGGTGCAATAGCACCTGGGTCCCACACAGAGCATCAGAGGGGGGTGATGCCCCAGGAAAGCACGTCTGGCAGGTTGGCTTGTCCATTCGCCACCTCTTCGATGTGCTACCTGATCTCAAAAGCCAGTGCTAACATCAATTATTTTGTTAGGGGTATCTTGTCAGCTTCAGCAACGCCTCTGTCAATGCATATTCACTTTACAGGAATTTCACAGTGAACTGGGAAGCAACTGGCAGCACCAGTCCTGCTGCTGGGATTGGAGATGTGTGGCTGTGGTAGAGGTTCCCCCATGGTGGTAAATAACAGAATCACAGAATCATAGTGGTTGCAAAAGACCTTTAAGATCATTGAGTCCAACCATAAACCATCTCTAACCCATGTCCCTCAGCACCTCATCTGCCTGTCTGTTAAATCTCACCAGGGAAGGTGACTCCACCACCTCCCTGGGCAGCCTGTTCCAATGCTTGACTGCCCTTTGGGTGAAAAAGTTTTTCCTCAGATCCAATCTAAACCTCCCCTGGCACAATTTGAGGCCATCCCCAGTTTGTAGGGTTCAGCTCTGGGTGCTCGATTCTACATTTAGCTATTGCCAGGAAGAGCTGAGCATCCAGTAAGTACAGAATAAAAGGGAGACTGCAGGCAGTGGAATATACAATTTGTTCCATAATCAGTTTACTTTGTTTTTTAATTCATGAGAAGTAAATCCTGCAGTGAGTTAGAAAGGCCATTATTGCCTCCTCTCACTAAACAAACACACGCTGAATCCTCTCATTATCCTTCTTGACTTCTGTACACCAGAATAAACACAAATCAGAAGATCTGCTGGAGAAAGACAAGACTCCAGCACATGAGTGGCACAGGCTCCCGGGGAATATTCTGCGTATGAAGTATCATTGCACACAATTTACAAAGATATTTTATGCTTCTCCGACACTTTTTAGCCTCAAAGATTCCAAGGTCTATAAATACCTTAAAGACCCGCGGTGCACGTCTGTCTCTGAAGCAGAACAGAGCACCCATGGTTATTATTTGTGTTTAACAGAGCAGTTTTAGTAGGTCAAACCTTCTTGCTCTTATTTGGAAAAAACTGCCTAGAAATGGCAGGTTTTTCTTTTGACTATGGGATTTAGCCCAAATGGAAGAAAATATAATGTTTTCCTACTTTTCATCTTTAAAAAAATCCAGCTATCCACAAATGTTAACTTGCTACACATATTTTAAAGTTATAAACATAAACGAATATGGCACATGAATGTAAACCCCTGGCTCACAGCTGTGTTCCCAATGATATCAATTATGGGGCCCATCACTCATGGAAACACATTATTCTTTGTGGGTGCAAGCCAGCCCCAGACCTTTGCCTTCCCACTGCTCTTTGGATGGCAATGTCTAAGCAGGCACCTTCTGAGGACAACTGAAGCCTCAGGCTACAAAAAGGCTGAGAAAATAGAGTTACTCATCCAATTATTGACTCGGAGAGAACTGGCCACCTGGAGACAGAGACCTCAAAAGAGTTGGGTTTACCCCATGTCAGCAACTTCCCACCAGGTGAGAATATCAAGAGCAGCCAGCTCTGTCCTGGATGACAGCTCTGCTTTAAAGGCTGTGAAGGTTCTGTATTTATCTACCAACAACTCCAAACCAAACATGCCTTGCACACAAACAATGTATTTTCACTTTTGCAAATACCACAGAGCATGATGCAAACCAGAGACCTGACACTCAGGGGGCATCTCTTCCCAAGCATCACAAATACTTGTGGTTCTCACTCACTGATGGCTTCACAGGCCACTGGTTACCCCCTGACAAAGCATGGTCCACCCTCAGAGGTTGTCCTCTGCATCACCTGCACCTACCACTGAGCTCTGCCCTTAGAGGTTAGTAAAGAATTCCTG